CTTCATCATCTCCAGGGCCTAATGGAGTTCCGTACAGAGTGTACAAGACTGCTTCAGGAGTTCTGCGAATTCTGTGGAAATTCATAAAAGTGGCATGGGAAAAACAGGTTGTACCTAGAGCATGGCACAGAGCAGGTGGAGTCTTTATACCTAAAGAAAAAATGCTACAAGCATCAGTCAGTTTTGTCCTATTTCACGATTAAACATTGAAGGTAAGATTTTCTTCAGCATTATTGTCCAGAGATTGTCCACCTACCTATTAAAGAATGGCTTCATTGGCACCTCAGTTCAAGAAGCGGGCATTTCAGGGTTCTCAGGATGCTTAGAACACATCAATGTTATCAGTTTTGCAATTCAGTTTCTCAACTCCAAAATTCAGCACTGCATGGCAATGCCTAGAGGTTGGAATAATGGCAGGATGCACCATTTCTCCACTGGCTTTTACCATGGCAATGGAAGTAATCATTAGGGCATCAAGATGGGTAGTAGGAGGAGAGCGCTTGGCTTCTGGGATGCGACTACCACCAATTAGAGCATACATGCATGACATGACAACCATGACTACAACAGTAGCCTGCACTAATCGGTTATTGGGGAAGTTAACAGATAATATTGAATGGGCACAAATGCAATTTAAGCCCTCTAAATCAAGGAGCATCTCGATAGTTAAAGGAAAGGTAGTAGATAAAACATTCTTCATTAATGGTGAGGCAATACCAACAGTTTCTGAGAAGCCAGTGAAGAGTCTTGGGAGATGGTACGATGGGGATCTAAAGGACACAGTTCGGGTGGGAGAAGTTAGACGACAAGCAGTGGAAGGGTTGAAGAGCATAAACAGCTGTGCTCTACCTGGCAAACTAAAACTCTGGTGCTTTCAGTTTGGTCTACTGCCGAGGTTACTGTGGCCACTGACCGTGTACGACGTTTCTTTGACAACAGTGGATAAGCTGGAAGCGTTGATAAGTTTATACATCAGGAAATGGTTGGGAGTTCCACGCTGCCTCAGCAGAGTGGGACTTTATAGTAAAGGAATATTGCAGCTGCCAGTCTCTGCTTTAACCGAGGAGTTTAAGTGTGCCAAGGTCAGACTGGAAATGACCTTAGTAGAGTCACGCAACAAATGTGTAAGGGAGGCAGCCCCTGTGTTAAAAACTGGTAGAAAGTGATCAGCAAAGAAATCTGTAGTAGAGGCAAAGGCTGCCCTTCAAATTGGGGATATCGTGGGACGGGTACAGCATGGAAGAGGGGGTTTTGGGCTCAGTTTAGCTCCTCCTAAATGGCACAAGGCAGACCCAGCTCAAAGGAGGAAGCTGGTAGTCAACGAGGTGCAAAAGCAGGAGGAGAGGATGAGGTGTATAAAGGCCATTTCCTAGGCCAAGCAGGGAGAGTGGATGAGATGGGAGAGTGTGGAACAGCGCAAGATGGGCTGGCAAGACCTTTGGTCAATGGAAAAGAGTAGGATCAGTTTCCTTATTAGGTCAACATATGATGTTCTCCCATCACCGCAGAACCTAAACCTCTGGGCAGGAGAGGATCCCTCTTGTCCTTTGTGTTCATCACCTGCCACATTAAGGCACATTTTGACCAGATGTAAGTTGGCTCTTAGCCAAGGTCGGTTTACTTGGCGCCATGACCAAGTACTGCGATGTTTGGCCTTAGCATTGGAAGGCAAGCGTAGTATGACCAATAAGTTGCCGCCTGTTCTAGCAAAACATTACACGCAGAAGACAATATTACTCCGCCCAGGCGAGCTACCACCAAGAAAAGGTGTTAACACCAATTCTCGCCCAGGACAACTGGAAGCTGCTAGGGACTGGAAGATGCTGGCTGATCTTGATCAACGGCTTATTTTTCCACCTGAGATTGCCACCACTAACCTACAACCAGATATTGTTTTGTGGTCTGGATCAGCACGCATGGTTCAACTGATAGAGTTAACAGTGCCATGGGAGGATGCGGTAGATGAGGCATATGAGAGGAAGAAACTGCGGTATGCTCATCTGTCCACTGAAGCAGAACAGCGAGGATAGAGAGTCCAGGTTTATCCAGTGGAAGTGGGTTGTCGAGGTTTTGTGGCACACTCTACAACCCGGTTCCTCAGAGACGTCGGATTCAGCGGCCAAGAGTTGCGTCGCACAGAAAAGAACTTATCTGAAGCAGCAGAAAGGAGCAGCAACTGGCTGTGGTTGAGACGGAAAGATTCTAGCTGGCTGTGTACAGACCGCCACGCTACGGTTTCGTAGAATTCTTGAAAACTTGAAGAGTCTGTTGGTTTATTTGTATACGTTCCTGTGGATATTGCGTGAATGACGGGTGGTTGGGTAGATATTGTGTTTTGCGGTAGGTGGTATGCCATACGGAACCATTGCCACTGAAACTGCTTTAACGCACCAGTGGGGCTCGACAGCCTTAGTCAAACGGGTTGGCGCGTATGGTTGGGTTGCGGAGAGATTGTGAGATTGTGGTTAGGTCTCAGCAGCAGGAGGGATGTAGAGGTCAGTAAGCTGGGCTGAGTTGAGTGGGGGACGGAGGGGGGTGACTCTGGGACGCCAGAGTCACTGTCGAGCCCTCTTGAGGTGTCGTGGGCTAGTCGACGAAACACTGAGGACGGAAGGTGCCCACTTGAAGACCCTAGAGATGTCCCCTACTCGGCTCAATCCAGACGGTTGTCGTGCTGGTCCTGTAGTTGCAGCCGTCGCGTGTGCTGACGCGCCAAGTACACTGCAGCCGTTAATGCCGGACAGAAGGGGAGTCACACCACCATATGGAAAGAAGCGTAAATGGATGGAGAAGCATAGTTTACTGTAAAGCTACGTCTTAGTTTGGCTTATCTTGGCGAAAGCCGAGTACAAATCAGCATGAAGTTTTAACATCTACTCTCGTGTAATGGAAATAATTATTGGGACTATTTTGTTGGAGTTTATAAAAGGGTAAACAGTTTGTGTTTTGTACCTTCTAGCAAATGAGTAAAAGGGAACAATAAAACCAAATTCTCCCTGTGATAATGATTCAACCTTTTCATTAACTTAACTGTAACCTCTTAAGACTGGGGTCTGCTGATTCATTGCAAACACCCAGGAGATCGGGACCAGAGCAGAAGGCATCTTAAATGTCAAAACAAGTGAATCTTTATTGCTTTTATTACCTCAGTATGTTGAGTTGACAGTGTGAACTCTTCAGTCCATCAGACAGAAGCTTCACTCCTGAATCATGCAGGTCATTACGACTCAGGTCCAGCTCTCTAAGTGAGGAGTTTGACGATTGTAGAGATGAAGACAAACTTTCACAGCACTGATCAGTGAGATTACAGTCAGTAAGTCTATAACACAGGGTGAAATATGGCTCAGTAAATAGATGTGAGTTATTAAGTCATGATCACTTAATTATCTTGTCATCTCAACATAGCAACACTCATTTGTCTCAAAATACCAATTCAAGTTAACAAAAGCCATATAATTGCTATATAGCTACATAATGCTGCATATATTATTGGGGTTTAACTTTGATTAGGGACTGAAACTGAAATAGCTCTACAGTATTTCTTTCAGCAATAAACCACTTCAAAATTAGTGTCCAACAGTTGACAAAGAAGCTACAATCGTCATAGACATTATAGTGCTTCTGAACATGTGATCAATTTCTCTGCCTGCCACTTCAAGGTACTGGGATGCCTGAATGATAATATAATGATGTTTGACAAATGCTAAATAAAAATAAATTGTGGCTGACCACAGCAATAGCAAGTGATGTTCAGTTTTTGTCTAGTGAGAAAATGAAGTCAAAAGCTCAACAACAACTGCTGTTGATATCACAAGATATCATGTTGATATCACAAGAAAAGATGGCAGGAAAAAAATAATGCTATGGCCTTTTGGTTTTTCTGTAATGAACTGACATTATTATAAACTGACTCGAGACATAATATAGTCAAATATTTGACACAGGCAAAGCTCTGATTGCTGAAATCAATTGATTTATTTTCTAAAGCAACTGATTCTACACACCAGTGCAGTAACTTGTATAAATGAAATAAGAGATCAACACATATAAGAATGACAGCCATTGTTCTTGAACATAATGTAATAACCCCATAAAAAGGTTGCGGGTTTGATTCTCAATACAGGCAGTAAATGACTAAGGTGCTCTTGAGCAAGACACCTGATCCCCGGGTGCTTCAGCAAATGGTTGCCCACTGCTCAAGGTGTGTACCCATGGTTTGAAGTGGGTGTGTGTAGTGTGTGTGTGTGTTTGTACTCAAATTCTGAGTATGGGTTACCATACTTGGCCTTCATGTCAAATCACTTTACTTCAATAAAGTACTTTATGATTCAAGTCCAGATCCTTCATCTTCCCAGTTTAACATGGTCTCTGTCTTTTGCTGCCTTCATACTATTCAACCTTTTTGGATTCCTGACTTGGATTTTGATATACTTTATTAGGCTGTGGTTGTTTTTTTCTGCATACATTTTCCTTTTAAAATAGTTTGATGTACCATCAAACAAACTGACTTACAGAACTCAAACTTAATCAGTCCAAAAAGGCTGCAAAATAAGCTTGATCTGATATTGTTGGTTTTGTCAAATCAAATCACAAATCACATTTATTTATATAGCACGTTTAAAAACAACACACGTTGGCCAAAGTGCTTTACATATAGCCCAGCACATATAATCTAAGATTATAAAACAAAGTATAAAACAATTGCAAGAATTTAATTACAGTCAAAAGCAAGAGAGAAGAGATAAGTCTTTAAAAGAGATTTAAATGCATCAAGGGTGGCACAAGATCTAACATGGAGGGGTAGACTGTTCCATAAACAGGGAGCTGCAACAGAGAAGGCCCTGTCTCCTTTTGATTTAAGTCGAGACTTTGGAGTGGTTAACTGAAACCTATGTACAGATCTTAAAGGCCTAGAGGAAGGATGCAATCCTTGTGAAGGATGCAATTCATAAGGATGAATATATTTAGACATTACTGCACACAATCACATAAATTAATACTCACAGAGCTTTTTGGCAGTTCAGCACAGCTGGTATCAGTCTCCTTCTGCCCTCATCTGAAGTGTTGTATTTCTTCAGATCAAACTCATCCAGTCCCTCTGATATCTGAAGCATGTAGGCTATTGTTGAGCAGTGGGATGGAGAAAGTTTCTTCAATGAGTGATTCTCTGATTTTACAAACTCCTGAATCTCTCTGTACAGAGTCTGATCATTCATTTCCAGCAGAAAGTGGAACAGATTGATGCACCTGTCAGTTGAGAGACATTCATCACCTTCGATTTTGTCTTTAATGTACTTTGTGACTCTCTTGATGGTCTCTGAGCTGTTCACTTTGTGTGCCAGAAGATCCTGTAAGAGTCTCTGATTGGACTCCAGTGAGACGCCCAGTAGGAACCGCAGGAAGAGATCCTGGTGTCCCTTTTCACTCTGTAAGGATTTATTAACTGCTGCTTTTAGTAGTTCATGCAGAAGAAAGCTTTCCCAGATGTTCCAGTTACAGCCATCCAGGAACAAATTCAGTGATTTTGTATTCTTGACTACATTCAAGTAAAATACAAAGAAAGCAGCCAGAAACTCTTGAAAGCTCAGATGTATGAAGCAATAGACTTTCCTCTGATGAATCACAGATTCCTCCTTAAACATCCCAGAATACATTGAGGTGTCAGTGACATCTATGCCGCTCTCTTTCAGGTCCTCCTCATAGAACATCATATTGCCCTTCATCAGCTGATTGAAAGCCAGTTCAGCCAGTTTCACAATCATGTCTCTGTTGGACTGCAGGAGTTTCTCTGGATCTCGTTCATCATACTTCTGATTCCTCATGTTGATCTGAGTCAGTAGGAAGTGGATGTACATTTCAGTCAGAGTTTGAGGGATTTCTGCACTGTCATCTTGTTTCAGGAGGTTTTGAAGCACAGTGGCTGAGATCCAGCAGAAGACGGGTATGTGACACATGATATGAAGACTTTTTGATCTTCTAATATGTGAAATGATTCTACTGGCTTGATGCTCATCATTGATTCTCTTCCTGAAATATTCCTCCTCCTGAGGCCCGTTGAATCCCTGAATTTCTGTCAGACGGTTGATGTATTTTGAGGGGATCTGATTGGCTGCTGCTGGTCTGGAGGTGATCCAGATGAGAGCAGAGGGAAGCAGCTCTCCTCTGATGAGGTTTGACATCAACACATCCACTGATGAAGACTCATTCACATCACAAACTTTTTCAATGTCTGAAAACATCAGTGTAATTCTGCTTTCATCCAGACCATCAAAGATGAACACAACTTTACACTCCTCATAAATCTTTAAGTCCAGATCTTGAAGTTCAGGATGAAAGTCCAGCAGAAGTCTATGAAGACTGTACTGGTGATCTTTAATCAAGTTCAGCTCTCGAAATGGAAGCACAAACATGAAATCTACATCCTGATTGGCTTTTCCCTCGGTCCAGTCTAGAATTAACATCTGCACAGAGACGGTTTTTCCAATTCCAGTGATGCCTTTAGTAAGAACAGTCTTGATTTTGTCTTTCTCACAACCTGATTCATGTAAGGGTTTAAAGATATCATTGCAGTAGATTGGAGTGTCATGTGTTTTCTCCATCTGTTTTTCATTTACTCCTTCACTCTCTCCCTCTATGATGTAGAGCTGTATGTAGATCCTGTTCATGAGGGTTTGATTCTTTTCTAGTTTTATTCCTTCCAATAAGCTCCCATACTTGTTCTTCATTATGGTTTTGTGTTGTTCTTTGACTCTCTGCAGGACATCATCTACTGTTTGGTGAGAATCATGCTGCAGGTCTGTAGTCTCCTCTAGCAGTGTGAGTGTCCGAAGGGCTGCTTCTGTGTTGTGCCACCCCATGAGGTTCCGACAGTAGGAGACAAAGTGAGTCAGGTAGAACATCACTAAACTGATCACGCCATCTCTCTTCACTCTGCAGAAACAGTGAGACAAACAGAAAAATGGTGAAAAAGCTGCAAAATAGAGAAAAACATTCAAATGTTCCAGCACACCAAACTTTAAACTCTAATGTGAAATTACACATTTACACAGAACTGTCAGTTCAAGCAGCATTCCACTAGCTGTCTAGAAACAACTCCATTTTGGTAGAAGACATCACACATACGACTGCTTTTTTTCTGTACACTGACTCCTTTAGATTCTTGATTAACTTCCTATATTATGCAAAGTTTGCCAAGGATTACAGAGGATTCTGATGAGTGAGTTGACGATACTATGCAAGCCTGAGGCAAGTATTGGAAATAGGGGAGCGCGGGGCACAACCTAACGCGGGGTTAAATTGTAAGACTCCTCCTGCAACGACTCTCCAAGCCACTAGGGAGCACTGCCTGATCCCTCTTGCAATGACACTCCAAGCCACTAGAGAGTGCTGTCTGCTCCTTTCTGCAATTACTCTCCCAGTCACTAGGCGGCACCACCTGCTGTGAACTCTTTAATAATGACTGCTAATCAAGTTAATGCGTTCCACCTGAATTTTGCCCTATTTAAGTTGGCAGTTTTCATTGAGCTGTGTTCAGTCTTGAGCCCACCATCTATGGATTTCCTGAGTTCTAGAAGAGTTAAGTGTTGTTTCTCTGTTGCCACTGGGCTTACTTTATGTTTTGTTTTGTAAAGCTATGACTGCTCTTTTGTTTGTATTTGAGAACTGAGTTCAAGTAAAGACTCCCTGCTTTGAGTTATCTGAGCCTCCTAGTTTGCTTTTGCTTCTGCACATGGGTCTTCTACAAACTGTCTTCCCAGTAGACCAGAGGTAGAGAAATAGCTTTCTCTAACCGGGAGACCTGGGTTCTAGACCCACCTTCGACACTTGTATGTCAGTCAAATTGTGACATAAATGTAACACGGACCTTTTACATAGTTAGTCAGGATCAAGCAGGTTGTGTTTCCAGTCTTTTTCTCTCGCTGCCAAAAGACGGTCTCCCGCGAATTTGTGGAAAGTTTTGATAATATTTCGTGAAGATACTGGACAAAGAGTGTTTTGACACCATGCAAGAATTTTTTTCATCATAGGTTTTTTTCGGTTTCTGAGTTGGGTGTGTACGTTTCCAAATCTAACTTTATATTGCCTTAATCACTGTCTTGTTGGCTAAAACATAGCACTGTTTTGAAAACCTGTCAGCAACTCCTAGCAAGTGTTAGCTATGGCTTAAAATATTTTTTACACAGCGGGGTTAGTTGTAGCGCAGTGTTACAACTAAGCCGCCACGTGTACAATGATAATCAAATGAAAACAGGGAGCCACACAACTTTTCAGGTTTGAGTATTTATATATTTAACTTTGTTGGACTTTCACAAACAATGTTGGATTTTTTCATTTTATTTAGTTTACTATGCATTGATCACTTGTTTATTTATTTAAAATATAGCCTTTTTTAATGCAATAAACCCTTTAAATTTTTATTTTTATTATATTACTGTTATTAATAATAATAATTTTACATGCAGCTGCCACACACAAATGTAATTCAACTGCATTACAATATTTGATTTTATTTACTTTCCTTTTCTATATCTCTATCCATGATATTCATAATAGAAGGATGATTGGACGAGGAATGGATGTATGGATATCTATCTAGACAGATGTACAAACAATATCAAACTATACAGATAAAATAGTACTGAATTATGTGTTTTACATAAGTGTTACAACTAACCCCTCTGTCTGTTACAATTAACCCCGCATATGGGGTAAGTTGTAACATTTGCATTTCTGTCACTTTCAGTGCAACTGTACGAAAATGGTAGGCCCTGGAAAAAAATCTAACTTAATTATTTTTTTAATAATTGAGCCAAAACCAAAATGTTAGGTTGTGCCCCGCTCTCCCCTATGCTTTTTATGACTACTGTTATTAAATAACATTTTATTAAAAACCCTCAAAAATCTTTGTCAAATTTGACTATAGTTTATTGTGCATGCAGATAATATTTTAAGATGTTAAGACTGGTTTATATACTTTAGACATATAGAACTTATCCACATTTGTGCATCTATGTCTGTAATGTGTACTTAGGTGCAAAACGCTTAGGAATCTTATCCAAGATGTAGGCTACTCAATGTTGGTCAGCACAAAAGTTTATTAAAAAAAAACCATAAACACAGGTAATCCATAAGAACAAAAGTATAACAAATGACAAACAACAACTGAAGCACACAGGTTAAAAAAACAGGTTAACAAGGGGCTTATGAGGGACAGGTGTTGGTGATTTGATGTCATGGGAACTAATGAGGGTAACTACGGCGACAAACAAGGTACAAGGCAAAACAGGAAGTGAACACAGAAACAATGGGAACTAAGAAAACACTTCAACATAAAAGTCCTTACAAAACACATCACGCTGCACAGGTATCGTGACAATAATCAAAAAAGAAACATTAAGAAATTGTTCGCTTTGATCTTACGTGGTCAACATCCTCGTTTATCATGTTGCATGATGTTTATACTCACTCAGGGTCAGTGTTCACTGCTCCATCACTGAGATCAGGGGGGTTCTTCATGAATCCGTCACTGTTCACAGACACACTGGGTTCTGGAGATGGTACTTTATGTGTGTAAACATCCTCATCCTCCTCTCTCTTTTCACAAAGACTTGTGTTACAGGGAGTGCTGTTAGAAAACCAAGAAAGAATAGAGGGGGGAAAATTAAATAGGATGCAAAATAAAATACAGTGTAATCAGTCGGACGCACAGTGGCACAGTGCTCATTCAGTAATGCACAGCTAAACAGATGTGTTTTGAGTCTGGATTTGAATGTGACTACTGTTGGAGCACATCTGATCCCTTCTGGAAGCTGGTTCCAGCTGCTGGCATAGTAGCTAAAAGCGGACTCACCATGCTTAGAGTAAACCCTTGGTATTTCTGATGTGATCCTAATGATCTGAGTTATCTGTTATGTTTATATAGTGAGCATATCTGCAATGTATTGAGGTCCTAGGCCATTGAGTGATTTATATACCAGTAATGATACTTTAAAATCAATCCTAAATGTAACTGGGAGCCAATGTAAAGACCTGAGGACTGGTGTGATATGTTCATATTTTCTGGTTCTGCTCAGAATCCTGGCATTCTGTATGAGCTACAACTGTCTTATGGTCTTTTTGGGAAGGCCAGTGAGGAGTCCATTACAATAATCCACCCTGCTGGTGATGAAAACATGAACAAGTTTTTCAAAGTCTTGATGTTTTGAGCCATCATTTACTATCTAGTTGTTTATACTACTAAATACAGCTTACCCAACATCTCAGATTAACCTTACATCTCTAGCTTCCGTTATTGTTAAGACAGCACGCTAGTAACTCGCTAACGTTAGCCTGCTAATGCGCCACCCGTGCGCTCATTTATATATTTATTTTCTCTCGCGCGCCCGCGCCTTTTGAGTTCATAAAGTCCAGGTAAGTAAGAAATAAGTCAACAAACACGGTGAGTAATGTCTTCTTGTCCTGTTATTGTCACCTGTGTCACATGTCATATGTTTAGTATAGCCTTCTCCGATGGCAATATAGGATTTATATGTGATAAATGCAAGGAGACAGTCAGGCTGACGGAGAAGATTTCAGAACTAGAGACACGCATCCAAACTTTAATTGAGGCTGGTAAGAATGCTAGATCTTTAGATAGTGTTTTGGATGCGCCTAGCATAGTGAACTCTTTACATGATTCAGTTCCGGCTGAAGTAGAGCCCGTGCAGCAGGGCAGATGGGTTACTGTGAGAGATCACCGCTCTAGTCGCGGATCAAAGAACCACTCTTCCGTTCCGATTCCCATAACAAATCGATTTGCCCCACTCAGTGAAACACCCACTGAGAATTCTGTTGATTGTGCCCTGGTAATTGGTGATTCGATCACACGGAACGTGAAAATAGAGACACCAGCCACCATAGTCACATGTTTGCCGGGAGCCAGAGCGCCTGACATCAAAGCAAATTTAAAAGTGCTGGCTAATGCTAATCGTAAATTCTCTAAGATCATTATTCATGTCGGCACTAATGATGTTCGACTCCGCCAGTCGGAGATCACCAAAATTAATATTAAAGAGGTGTGTGAACTCGCAAGTACGATGTCAGGCACTGTAATTTGCTCTGGCCCCCTTCCTGTACGCAGGAGTGATGAGATAGTTAGCCGATTGGCCTCACTGAATGGTTGGCTGTCGAAGTGGTGTCCGCAGAATAATATAAAATTCATAGACAATTGGAAAAGTTTTTGGGGCAAGCCTGATCTGTTGAAAAGAGATGGTATCCATCCCTCCTGGGCTGGTGCTGCTCTTCTCTCTAGTAATTTGGCTCATAGTCTTAGAGCTAAAACATGACAATCTGGGGCTCAGGTCAGGAAGCAGACAGACTGGCTAAACCGACCGTCTGCTAGCGGCCTCACGTCACCAAGGTCAGATAAATCCCATCACATAGAGCCTCTTTCACCTAGATATCATCATATAGAGACTGTGTCTGTTCCCCATATTTGGAAATCCAAAAAACGTCAGGTTAAAAATTTAATTGATGTTCAACAAATAAAAAACAGATATAATACAGATGAGCAAATGATAAAGCTTGGGTTGCTGAATATTCGATCCCTTACTTCAAAATCTCTTATAGTTAATGATATGATTTCAGATTATAATCTTGATATGCTGTGTTTGACAGAAACCTGGCTAAAACCAAACGATTACATTATTTTAAATGAGTCAACCCCACAAGATTACAGTTATAAAAATGAACCTCGTCTGAA